ACTCCTCGGAACATCGTTTCTCACGAAAGACGACATTCTGTCATTCTTTCAAGCTGCCAAACTCGCTTGAAAACACATCCTGCACTAAGCCACTTTACTTTCATGTAATCAGATTATTCAGATTGCACAGACTAAAGAAAATCTCAAAATTGCCTGTGATCAAGCCCATGAAGATCAAATAATATTTACAAGCTTCACGACTGCATCAAGCATGGGTTTCATATTTCAATGCAGATTTACATACAGCATCTTGATGTATACCACAATGTAGAAAAACAACATTGTTCCTGGGATAGTTTTGATTAAAGTTCAAGAAATCCAGATTTTTTTTCCTGTCATATTTGGTGCTCCATCAGTCATATTATTGCATATATTTGTTATAGGCACTTTCAAAGTTAAAAGCCCTTCCTGAAATTCATGAAAAATATATCCCGATGTAGTTCCCTTTAAAGAATGCATGTGTTCTTTAAAGGGAACTAGAACGAAACTTAGCAAAAGCATGACTTGGGATATTACAGGTCCTCGGTAATTTCCAAGTTCTCATCAACATCTCTTTCTAAATAATACTAATTGAGCAGTACCATTTATATAAGTGCTTTCATCCACAGCTATGGAGCAAAATTTAAACTGGCCAATCTTTGACTCTAATTGTGATGTCAAATTTTTATCGATGTCTTCGATTCTAGAAGTCACCGCTTTTTGAGATAAGCTTACAGTCTCAAAATTACTTTTCTTGTATGGACATAACAAACTTGCATAAAAAAGCATAACAAACTTGGAGCATGCATTGTTTAATGAACTCCCCAACATTTAGAGCTTTATTATTTTTTACCAATATTGTATGCTATAAGTAACTTGCACGTGTAGCTGCTTCTTGGATTCTATTTACCCTCTTGGAAAAATTTCATCAGTCTGATAATTTTTTACAAAGACTTTCTGCATTTTGCTTTCTTTCATAATCAAACATTGTTTCGTAATTGGAATTCTTATGCTTAGATGTGAAATGACAGGAAATTCTATATTCTTTGAAGACTACTACAGCTTCATTGCAGATGAGACAAAAGTTTACCTTTTACAACTAAAAAAAAAAAAAAAAAAAAAAAGACATTTCCAGGTCACTTCATTATTAAAAGCACGGCACTCAACAACATTTTTAGTAGCCATTTTGGGGTTGAACTATTTTAGAAATATCTCAAACAAGCACTAGCTAAACTATACTTTTAATACTTTTACAACTAGTATTCACAATGATGCTATATGTCCACAATTTTTCCATATGCAATCAATAATATTATATTATGATATATAATAAGAATCGAAATATGGAAAAAACCTTGCATGTCTTTTCAGAAAAAGTCCGATTAGAAACGCGATTAGAAAAACAAAAAGAAAAGTTACATCCCGTAACAGCTACCAAGTTATTAACAAGCAATTTGGCTTTCATATCGAAACATTGTACCTTTTGTGGAAAGGATTCACATGCAAGCACAGATTGTTTATACAGAAAAGGTTTACCATACGAAAACAAGAAATCACTTATAATTAAAAACGAAATTTGTTTCTGGTGCTTGAAATCTGGTCATATTTCTTCTCGATGTTTATCAGAGGTAAAGTGCAGCATATGTGGCAGCAAAAGAAATTTGGAAATAATGTGTTACTCAGACAAAAAATAGTAGAGTGATAATGCCATAATTATTGAAATAAAGGACGTTTGTCAGAACACAGTTCTTTCGAATAATAATTGTTCAAGTGAAGTTTATCTTCAAACTTTGATAGTGTATATTACAGAAAACAATATAAAATACCTTGTCTGAATAATTATAGACATGGGCAGCCAAACAAGTTATGTGTCTAAATTTGTTGCTCACCACTTGAAATTAAAGAAGATAGGAGAAATATCAGTAAACCATGGTTTATTTGGAGGAATTACACACACAGAAAAGAACCAAAAATATCGTGTTAAATTCGCAAACATAGATGGAAGCTTTAATTGTAAATTAGAAGTTTTAGACGAAAATAAAATTTGTGCTTCTATTCCTAAACTGAATGATTCGAATTGCTTAAACCAGCGGTCGGCAAACTTATTAGCCAAAGAGCCAATATGAACATTACAATTTTTTAAAAAATTGAGAGCCAAATCTGCTTGTTTAGTAAACTTTTATTACACTAAATAAAAGTAAATTTAATACTTAATAAGTATTTATTAATGCGAACAATGTGCTTGCATCTCCTTGGAAAGCTTGATAAGTCAGGTTTATGTGTTTTTAATTTAGGTATGATTCCAAGTTCTCACAATAAAACAACTTTCTCAGTTTACTCTTGATAATTAATGTTTTGCTTGAAGAGATTGTTGCATATATATGTAGAACCAAAAGGGAAAACTTTTTGCGAGCTTTCCACGATCGTAAGGCGGATATATTCCCAGCGTTGAAAATGATCATGTCTCCTTCTCCGGTCATTCAAGCAGACCACTTGTTTGTGAACTAAGATCACATTTTTTTCTCCAATATTTCCAATTCAATACAAAGACGTTCAATTTAGAGCGCCATATTCCTTGTTTTTAATCCAGCAATTGTATTTCAAAGCTACCAATGTCAGTTTCAAAAAGGAGAAAATTTCAACTCAGTTATCGTAGCATTAAGAGAATTTTTGACAAATGCTAAAGTTGTTCTGCTGTTTTTAAATTTCTGAAACCTGCTGAGAAATGCTCAAAATTTAAAATTATTGTTTTAAAATGATGTTTATCAATAGAGGAATTATTTTCTTGCCGATGCTTCACCTGGCTCGGAAAGTGAAACAATGTTTCCCTTTCAAAATCATGTGCAAAAATAGATAATTTCTTTTCGAATGTTATTACTTCTTCTAACATCGAAAAAAAAAAAAAATTAAGTTTCCTTTCCCTGTAGTTTACTATTACTGATTAGATGAACGTAATGTCTACCATGAAATAAAAGTTTTGGATCCACTGATCGTCTGTTAGTTCTGGATAATAAATGCCCTTCTCAAGGAGAAATGCTTTAATTTCCGAAAAAAGGGACGCGAAACATTTTAAAAAGTTCCCTCTTGATAACCAGCGTACCTTGTTATGAAGCAGATCAGCGTACTCACTCACCATTTCAAATAAAAATTCTTTGAAGTGGCGATGATTAAGAGCTTTAGCTAAAATGGAGTTGATAATGGTAATCATTAATTATATAACTTTACAAATTTCTTCTGGAAATGTTTGCGCACAAGGGGCTTCTTGGTGAATAATACAAAGATAAACAAGTATCTCCTGATTAATATTTCTTTCAAAATAGCAACAACCCCTTTTCTTACTCCGGTCATACTTTTGGCCCCATCATTGAAATAAACACATTAAAAATAAACAAACATTAAAAATCAACTTTTTAATAAGAGAGGACAACGCAACAGGGTAAATAAGACAAAACTGTCACACTGCACTGCTGCTCTGTGATGCCATTTGTACTTCTTTCTTTATAAAAAGTATCTGCGCATGCCAGTAGCTGTACTGGTTTATTTTACTTTACTAAACTAATAAATTAAACTCTATGTTGTTCTATTTTTAAACCATATAAATTTTAATTACCATCGATCTCTTCATCAAACAAAATTATACTGTTTTGATTTATAAAAATTTTAATTTATCAAAATAAGATGTAATTTTTTTCTTACCAAGTTTTTTTTAAATGAAAATATTATTGCACCTTCCTTGGATATTTGTACCAGAGCCGCAGTTAAGGAGCCAAAGAGACGCATGCGGCTCTGGAGCCGCACTTTGCCGACCACTGGCTTAAACCAATTAAAATATCTTGGTATTTTAATAAGGGATACAGCTCTAAATGATAAAACTATATGAAATACGTTATGTTGTCTATATGATATGTTGTCTGTATGAAAATAATTCAGGTGAAATCCATTTACTCATTGGAGCTGACTGTGTGGGAGAATTAACGGTGAACATAAAGCATCTTTCAGGAGGCTTAGTTGTAAAAAATTTTTAAACTGGTTCTGTACTGTGGAAAGCTTGCATAATTAAATAGTTCTCTTTCACTCAAAAAAAACTTAACTATTAAATGCTCTATACTACTGCTGTTTCATATAAATTTTAAAATCAGTTGTGTAATGTATTTTGATTTACATTTTTTATTTTTGTTTCATATACACAAATGTGTGTACGAATATGCTAGAGAACACACAAATATATATTGATTTAAACTTGCTTATGCACTGTAAAAGAGAGAATTTAATATGAAATTCTTTTGTGCATAGCCAGTTTGCAATATTAATTAATGATCATTTTATTAACGTGTAATGTATTTTGTTAGTGACCATATTACTATTAATGTGCAGATACAAAAATACAGTCACGAGAAAAATATGTGTATCCGAAACAAAGCGATTATTCTTAGCACAAAAGTCATAACTGAGCATACTTAGTTTTTGACAAGCATAATTAGCTCAATTTATAAATTTTCTGATGGGTTATTCATGTCATTTTTAATAGTAATGAAAATAATGCAAACTCCAACTTCAACTAATTAAAATCTTGAAATCTTTGTAACACATGTTTAACCGAAATGCATTCACAGCCCATATAAAATTACTTTGGGGGCTGCATGCACTCCAAGGGCCGCTAAACAGAGATCACTGATATAAGTGCACTGAAAGCTACAATGATCTAATGCTGGCAGATCCAGCATTCTACAAAAGTGAACTTGCCAATATACTTTTAGGCTTTATACTTTTAGTTTTAATAGAATATTTTCTGCCTGGATTGTAATAAAAGTAATTATTTTCAATTTTTTAAAGATGACACAGATCAATTAAGAGATAATACCAAATGTATACTAGCAAAATGAAGAACAAAAAATATTCAAAACAGAATTTACTCAATATACATCCAAGAAACTTAATGCTTAACATATAATATGAAAAGGAAATATGACATTTATTTTAGCAGAGATTTAACTTGAAACATACAGTAGACTATAACTTACTTTAAATTTATTAATCAACCAGTCTCTTCCTAAATCATATATCAGGTAATGGAGAGACTCTTTGTAAACAGCCAGGGTGTAATCATAATCAAAGCCATATACACTGATATCTGATAGATCCAATTCATTGTTTGCAAATACACCAAAGGGATTTACATCAGGAGGAGGAAGTTCAGCTAAAATTAAGAAAATATATGTAACAATAGAATTTTGATAAATGATTTCATACAGATAAAAGAAAACTGGTACACAGATACTTCATAGTAATAAGCAATCTTACACACTTTCTTGAAACAATTCTTTATTTTAGAAACTTTTCACTTGAAACATTATGCCTGTTCTGTAGCACAATGATGTACTTCATAAAATCAGACAAATTGTAGGAAAAAGGCTACTAGATATATTACATAGAAAAAATCTCATGTGGACACTGTATGACTTCCTTGTACAGCCTATTAAATCATACACTTTTTTTGCTGCATTTCATTTAAACTTATTTCCACGAATTTCATTAGAGATATGTTTCTCATTCAATTCTTACTTGGCGGCAAGGCAAAAATACATAAAAACTCAAAACATCTTCATTAAAAACTAAAAACAAAAACGCCAAATACAGCCAAAACAGTTAAAAAAAATTTTTTTTTACAGTTAAAATTAGTTTCTACACAAAAACAAGCAATTCAGCCAGGCTGATTTTTCGACGCTCAAAACCGAAAGTTAACTATTGCTCCCACTCAACAAAAAACACACTGAAGGTCCAAAAACTGATTTAATTCACTATTCTGCTAAGTTTCAAATATACACAAATAGCCGCTCAGTTAGGCTTAGTTGCACTTAAACAACTTTTAAATTGTTGATAATTCTACAACTATTGCATGCAGATCAACTAAAGGCATAAAAACAGAAACATAAGAATAACACAAGTCAGGGCATAGAAACAGGGAATGTAATTCAATCATTTTTAATGCAAAAAATGCACAATTTACCAACATATAAAAATAAGAACTGAGCTCAATGAGCCAGATAACAAAGTGGGAATATATATGTGCGTGTGTGCATGCACATGTTTAGTGTCACAAATTGCAATGATAAAGGGAGGTACACACAACTAGATACTACAGTCCAATATACAAAATTCCAATGCTCTGAGGCAACTCATTTTTAAGTTATTAAAATATGAGAATTTTCATACATACATCAGACGCCATGAAAAAATCTCTTCCGAATACAAATTAAATCCAATTTTTAATCTAATTGGTAAAAAAAGGACCTCTAATTCTGTCTGTATATACAGTTATCCCGTAAAAACATCATTCAGATGAATTTGTGAGTGATCAAAATGGATGTTTCCGTTGAAATATGATACTCAAAATTTTCTGCAATTGCAATACTTCTTTACTTCATACAAGGAAGTATATATGACAAAACAAGTAATTTTTTTTTTAAATTTTAGGACATGTGATGAATTGGTTTGAAATCGAAACAAAACAAAAAAATTAGATTGCAGGGCATAAGATTTTTTATTTTTTAATGAAAACTTAAGCAATCTTTTATACATATATGTATAAGATAGGCTAAAGGTCTGAATCCAATTCTAGAACAAATATTGGAAACTCAATAGTTCCATCAAATTTTTCTAACTTCTAGTTAGACTGAATTCTAAAAAGAACTAAAAAGAACAAAAAACTTAATTATCAATTTTTACATGGTCATGTGTCCAGGAAGGGAAGCATGAAGAAATTGAATAGATGGATTTGCAGTACCATCTTGTCGCAAGATCCACAAATTACTCAACACATGAAGAACTTTCTCCACATTTATAGTGCAATGCAAAGGGGCAGCAAGGTTGGTTGGTTGGAATATTTTGGCACAAAACCCATGGGGGTTATGTTGCACCAGACAAAAGGTTGTGTATTTCCAAAACTTACGAAAATAGAGATAAAAACACATGCACCATTCAGTGCATACTCACGAGTCATGATTGGAAATTTAAGACAATGTTACATATAGGTATAAAATAGCAAGCTATAAGATCAAACACACAATTTTCTTTTTTACTAATTTTTGAAAACCATGAAATACAGATAGTAAACTCTATAGTCAAAGGATAAATTCTGATGAATATGAATATAACTAGATCCCAGTTAGATCTTCTGAAACTCAAATTGGATTCAGGGCATCCAATTAACATGGTAAAGCTTTGTAGCTTTTAAAAAGTTAAAAATGTTAGAATGTGGTTCTTTACCAACTTAATCTTTTGCTGAAATCTCCCAAGTATTAAAATAAAAATTTCGAAAGCAATTAAAATTTGGACAATCAATTAAAATGTTACAGTAAATGTAAACAGTAAAAAAGTAAAATGTAAACAGTTAAAAAGTGCTGCATTTAGCACAAACTGGTTCAATTTCGCCCATCAATAGGTATCTGTGTATTAGCCTTGTGAAACCAATTCTTAATCAGGTCAGAAGGACCTCCTCCTTTCGGTATAGGGTACATTTCCAATGTTCTATTTTATGTTTTATATTTCATAATTTATTGGTTAACTGCACATCCAAAGCTTTTGCCATTTCATCAGAATTTCGCTCCCAATCAGAGGATTAATATCTGAATAGGGAACAGGTCAGCTCGATGTCTCACAGGCACATTTTGCAGTGATATCTGGCAGTTCATTTCCTTTTATACCAACACGGCTTGGTACCCAGCAATAAAAGATCCGGTAACCTTTGGCCTTGAAGCTACTATTGAGATTCAGCACTTCTACAATTAACGGATTTGTGTTATCCACATAGGATTCAAGAGCTTTTAGCACACTAAGCGAGTGTGTGTAACTAATGAAATTTTTCATATGTTGTTTACCTATGGAAGATAGAGTTAATAGCAAAGCAACAATCTCTGCAGTAAAGATGGTATAAGCGAGATAAAGGTTTTTTCCCTCAATAGTATTCTCGCACATGAAGGCAGAGCCGACATGATCCTGGGACTTCGATCCATCTGCATATACAACATAGTCATTGTAAGCCTGTCTACGTTCACAGAAAATCTGCTTGTACACGACATCACTGGTGCTAACTTTAGCTAAGCCGGAAAATATGTTAAGAAGCGCAATGTGAACATCTTTCCAAGGAGGCATTTCCAAATACTTTACTGCTGAGAATACGGCAAAGCACACTAAGGCTATCTGCCTAAGGGGATAGATGCCTTCGTGGAGGACTTTCTAAGGGAAACTGACTCGTATACACATTACACATGGGGAAAACCACGAAAACGCCCATGCAGGCCAGCCCGTTTGCGGGATTCAAACCTCGAACCGAACTACCAGTGTTCAGCGATTTTACCGCTCGGCCGCTGGTGGGCCCAGCTGTTGGCTGGATGATCAGGGTGCTAAACAGTCATAAAATAATACTGAAGAGACAATTGCTCGTGTCTCAGCTGAAGGGGTGACTCGAAACATTCTACATACAAACTCTGCAAAGGAGATGTTCTGAAAGCTCCTGAACAAATTCTTAAGGCTTGGTGATGAACAGGATCAAGCTTCATTACCATAGAAGTTCGTAACGATCCATAGGCTACTGATCCGTAATCAAGTTTGAATTGAATAAGAGCTCTGTAAATTCAGAGCATGGAAGTTTTATCTGCTCCCCAAGAGGTATTAATACAGTCAAATACCGAAAATCCGCCAACCTGAAATCCGAGTTGCCTCTCAAAATACAAACATTCAGTTTATTGGTTCCAGAAACCGCAACACTGAGTACGAAACATCGAAGAAAAAATACTTACCGAATAATAAGTCATAACGGAAATACCAAATTATTGACATTATGATAAAAGATTTTTCCCCTCTAATTTGCATCGAGGTAAAAAAGCAGACGATTCACTCAACTCTTCTTTCAAGTTCACGATTCACGTTGTTGTATTTTCTGAGCTTTGTTATTTCATGAGATTATTTAGTGCTGCTTTTCTTTTATCCAGATATTTTGTAGATAAATTAAGAATATTTTCAATTTCAGCCCTTTTTAATACAATTACAGATAAGAAACGCACTCCTGATTTTACTGCTTGCAACGTTGAAAAACGTAAACACATTGCATTGACGGTAATGCAAAAAGTGCAAATTCTGCAAAAGATGAAGACAGGTGCTACTCCTCGATTTATCGCAGAATCGCATGGAATTGCGACACGACTGTGTAAGATATATGGAAAAATAAAGAAAAGCTGCTGCAATTTTACAGCAAAAGTGACTCTAACACCGGAAATCTTTGCATGAGGCAAAATCCGCAAACCTCGATGCAGTGTATATATAATACAATGAATAATACAGTCAAAAGTCGTTAATCCGGACTCGTCGGGAACTTCGGCGATTCCGGATTATCGATTTTTCCGGATTATAGATCATCATTTAAATCTGGTAGATGGCATGCAGAAATTATAAAATTAAAAATATGAAACCGTAATTAATGAAATAAAGAACAATTATGATCTAAAGGGTATCAAATTTACAAAAAAAAAAAAAAAAAAAGGCTTAAAATTTATTTGTTTACTTTATTAAACATTTCTTTCAATGCAAGTTGTTTAAGTTGCTTCGTTTTTTATGCGATAATACATTCTCTTTAATTCTATAAACAGACATAATTTCTTATTCAGTTACAAAGTTCTGCTGTTTAAGTCCTATAATTGCTGTGTCGAGAATACCAACTAATTTGTCAATCAAAATTTTTTCGTTTTCAATAACCTCTGTCACTTTCTTTGCTATCGGAAGCGAATTATAATGACGAGGAATTTGATTTAAATCATATCAAAGATGGAGTACATCGAGATGAAATACTACACTTAGTAAGGAATTATAAGCCAAATAAAATAAAAACATCCGCCCTGAAGATAAGGATAGTGCTGACAGACCAACTTCCAATTCATTGCTCGCGGCTGCGTTAAAGATAAACAAAGTTTAGATAAACAAATGTTAAAGTTTAGATAAACAAAAGATATGCCTTTATCCATTTTTTGCAGCAATTCCACTTTTTGTTTAATGGACTTCGAAACATACTTTCGCTTTGTAGATCCTTTATATATTAGTAAATAATATCAATCAAATTCTATTTGACATAATCGAAAGGTAAAGCTTACTTTTATAAAATTGCTTTAACAGTCTGCAAAAAAAAAAAAAAAAAAAAAGAAATCC